CGTTAATCGACTCCGTGGTGCTGACATTTCTATAAATACATACTCGTAATATAGTAGCCAGTGCCCGTCATGATTTACCCTACGAACGCCCCGTTCACGCGATGCAAAACAAAAATTGAAATTAAGTTTTAACAGTGGCGACGTTTCGGAAGAACGTATTGTTACCATGTTCAGGGTAGAGGTTGTACGTTTGTCAGAAACTGTGGTAATAACATTCAAGGCTACATGACGTCATAAACTGAATGATCATTAATCTACATTTTCACCTCAAATTTTTATATGGCTCAATAACCTTCATCACGTGACAGAAGAAATGGTGTTTTCTTTGACGTACGATCTGAATTCTTAACCTTTTTAAGGCGAAGATCGTCTGAATATTATTTATGAATTCAGTCCGTACCGCGTAGAAAACACTACAACTCACCATTACGAAAATCAGCTGGTTAACCCTTTGAAGCCGAAGCTCGTCTTCATAATATTTACGAATCCAGACCGTACCGCGAAGAAAACACTTCACTTAACCATTAGAAGTCGAATCAGGCGGTACCACATAAGATTTAACAAAAGAACATCCCGGTCAAAACCTTAATAAACATGAAGCATTGAAATAGGTTATGTATGGGTTTTCGGGCAGTCTGATCAAAAATTATTATCGACTTCACTCACCCGGGCACAGATTAAATCTCACCCCATGTACAGTTCACTGCGTAGTCGTCTTCTTATTTCAATACCAAACTAAAGAACGACTAATTATAATTATTAGCATAGGAACCAATCACTGATAAAAAAATAACCAGTTATTTTAAGTTTACCGAACAAACGAAGGCAGATGCAATAGTAGTTCTTTATCTCTCGCTAGGAACGCTGCTTTCCGCTCGAAAGTATTCGATACTGCAATGCAGCGCGCTGTACGGCAGTACCCTGTACTAAAACTACGTCATCACGCAAAATCGCCTATGGCGATGACTTCTTCTGGATTGTAGCGCCGTGTAGTCTGGTAGAAGATTACCAAAACAAATTTAGAACACTGTGCGACGGGCGGAAAACTTTCCGGTTTCTCTGCTGTCCTCTAAACTGGCGAGTGTTTTGTCAATCATAATCGATTAGCAGCCGCGTCAGAATCGATACTCGCTTCGTCATTGCAGTATTAGTCTGTAGGAAATAGAAGTGTGAGAAGCCTCGAAGCTTCGCTGTTTGAAATTTGTAACCGAGGAGATGGGTTTACGGCTTAGTTCTGTAGAAATTCGAAGTTTATGTCCCAGAGATCCCCAGTTCGACTTCAACGGGCTCATAGGATGTCCTGATTTGACTTCCTCAATATTTTATGATCATAAAGACACGTTCTGTATTGTATAACCTCTGTAGTTGATACGCGATTCATCAGATTTATGTCGTGTCATATGAATAATGAACTTTTAAAGTAATTATTGCCTTTTATAGTTTGTTGATCAGTTCTGTGGGAGTTAAGTCTGTGTAAGGATTCAAAGAGGAGTCTGAAAATCTGTCATGGTCCCTCTTTCAGTTCTGTACCCATTAAACCTCTGTCACGAGCTGGGTTAATATTCACCGTGAGCTACGAAAATGGATTTGATTGGATGCATTCTTATTGAATATGTTTTTGGTCAGATACTTAAAGTTTGTTTACGACAATAACAAACCAAAAAGATACTAATTAGGAAGTTAGGAGGAGACTAAATTATGGAAAAGCTTGCTACGTCTCAGTTTAAAATATTTTGTCTTCCCGTCTGATTTCTAAGAACCTGAAAATTAAAGTATACAAAACAATAATTTTGCCTAGGATAGAAGACGATGGGGCGTGGAGAAAACTGCACAATGACGAACTTAAAAATCTGTACTCCTCCCCCAATATTGTCAGGGTGATTAAGTCGAGAAGAATGAGATGGGCGGGGCATGTAGCGCGCATGGATGGGATAAGAGGTGTGCACCGGGTGTTGGTTGGGAAGCCTGAGCCTGCCGTTCTGAAACTAATATTGATTCCTGAATTTTTACAGAGTTTTTTGATCTCCTGTCCCATGTAAATTAATGCAGCACATTTTTTAGGTCTCCCTGTGGCTGAGGAGATATTTTGTATGGTGTGGGGTGGGAGGGGTATCCGTTGTGAAGAATGGTATTGATGGTTCCCACCTCCAAATTTTTGTTATTCATTGATAATGAATATATATTTCTTCTGTTTAGTATAAAGTTTACAGTGGTTGTTTTATTATCTTGAGGGTGGCATGAGGTGATGGTTTTCCAAAGACGTATTCAAGTTTTTGATTAGATCCAGAAAACCGGTGGTGTTTTGTGTACTATTTTCGTGATAAATTTAAGTCGAGCGTGGATATATCATGTGTTCGATATTGATATATGTTTTTATCGATAGGTTTGCTGGTATGATTGTTTACATCTCTTATAGCTGTTGAGAGTCGGCATATTCTCCCTGCCCTGCCGTAATACGATCACGCGTGCCTTTTGGCTTGGGTAACTCGCATCTGACTAGAATTGCCTGCAAGTACTTCGCACGTGTGATGATCGCTGAAGCCCTTGGCCTCATATGCATTTCGTTCGTTCATAATGGCCCCTACCTGATATTTGTCACACAGTTGTACGGCAACGTGAGTGCGTTGTCCTCAAGAGAATTGCTGTCACGTGACCTACCAGCTGTGGGCTGCATTCGTTTGATTAATGGCTGGACTCATCTGCGTAAATGTATAGGTCGCGCGATGTGTAAGCCTAGAGAGGTGAGTTCAATAGTAGTGGGGGGTAGCACAGCCTCAGCTGCGGTGACGCACCGAACTAAACACAGCTGAAGCTGACACCCCTCTAGCGCGTGCTTTGGACGAGTCCATCTCGCACGACCAAAAGCAGTCATTTGCGCATGCGCCAGCACTTCTCGCGTGAGCTATGGTGACGAAGTAGTGAGGATCGTAGTCGTGAACTGGAAACAGCTGCTGAGGAACAGGTCATGGCTTTCTTCAAGTCCTATCCCGTCATTCATATGGAGATACGTAGGATAATAAAGGGAACTTGTGATAATCACCTCTCCCCCAACGCGCACCTGGGATTTCAGGACAGTTGTAAGGTTTAGCACTGGAGATTTAAACGCCAAAGTGAGAAACGAATTTCGTTAGGCATTTCGAACAGTGTTGCCAACATCCCTGACCAGGTACCGTTCAGAAGTCACTAATGTACTAGAATCTGGTGATTTAAGTTCTCGTATGTTATTTTGATAAAAAATAGTAAAGGACGTATTTGTGTTTTACTGTTCGAATCACAAGACATTTTCAACTTCCTCAGTCTGAATTATGGTTTCATCAACTGTTACTAAATAAATGTAAATGAATTGAGAGTTTGTATTCTTTACCGAGTATCGTTAGGATCAAATCAAGGCGAATGAGGTGGGCAGGTATGTAGCACGCACGGGAAAGATCAATACGCAATTTGAGGCAGAAGATTTGAATTTTAAGACGCCACCGGGGAGACACGATCCCAGATCGAAGATTGATCTTACAGAAATGTGAAGTGGGTTTGTACTGTATTAATGTGGCTGCTGGTGGGATCCTCTGAACCCACCGTTTTCCGTAAAAGGTGCAAAGATTGACCAGCTGAGCGACTATTAACTTTTCAACAGTTAGTTATCTGACAAGTGTGAGCTGACAGCCTTCTGGGATATTTCACCGTGTACTCTAGAATAACTTAATTCTGGGAATAAATTCGAAATCGATGTGGGTCTGCGAGGGCACACGCCCCCAAAGTTGAGTCCCTGTTGCTACGGATCACGTGATGCTCGAGGAGGAATGACGTAACTCTCGCCAGAGACGAGATCGCTTGTCTTCACGCTCCAATTAAAAAAAGAACACTGCGAAACTGTTTTATATGGAATGTAGAACACGTGTGTAGACATCGTTCATCTGTTAAGTTCTTAAAACCGCCTTCGTTTATTTGGTCAGAAAAATTCCGGGTCTTTTATGGAATCAGAAGGTTTGTTACCTTGTTCAAAAAAAACCTGCCACTGGATCTTATTCACAGCCAGTTCAGTACAGCCTACTCACTCACAATCTGTTTCTTTAATATACTTTTTAATATTATACTCACATCTACGCCGAAGTCAGACTGAAATTACGCATTTATCATCTACGTTCCCCGCCTGTCTCATCCTTTTTAATTCTTAAACGTAATAATCGGGCTTGCCGGCCATAGCAGGAACCTCCGATGTGATCTGGACACGTGGCGAAGAGAGGAATATTTTCCCTGGTCCCCCGACCTGTAGCCAGTCAATACTGAGCTGTCACTTCTCTGCAATATTAAATGGAGATAAATTCATTCAAGGATGTGCAAAACGTTTGTCGTTTGATGCCATAATTCCATAACAGTACATATAGTTTATGTTCGCCTCAAGGTCGAATTGCACGCGTCCTTGGAGCTGAGAGGCATGAAACCTTCGTAAGTGAAATTTTGTTATTCGTACAGAATTGCGATATTTGATTCATTGCACGATTACAGTAGTTGAGTAACCATGGCCGTAATTTTTTTTTCCCATGTAAAACATTATGGCGTAAGTTTGGTGTAAATCAGTGGTATTCAACCTTTTTTGTTCGCGTAGCCCCAGATATAATTTCTCTTCAACTTTGTACCCCCAAAGTTGTTGGTGTATAATTCAAGTTATACGTAGTATATAATCTACATCTAAAATAAATAAATAAATTACATTACTGATTATTCAGTGTTTATCATAAAATAATATAATTTATTAAATTTCACGTACCCCCTAAGATGTCTTCGCGTACCCCCAGATATAATTTCTCTTAAACTTTGTACCCCCAAAGTTGTTGGTGTATAATTCAAGTTACACGTAGTATATAATCTACATCTAAAATAAATTAAATAAATTACATTACTGATTATTCAGTCTTTATCATAAAATAATATATATATTTTTTTCCCCAACTTAATTACTTGAGAAGACTTAATCGAACGTGATTTCTTTGTTTTACTTGTAGCTTAGAGTACCAATCAAAGTGAGCTTCACGATAAGACCCAGAGACCTGATCGTTGACTTTCATAAGAAGCATCTCACGTGTCGAGTGAAGGGCCAACCTCCTATCATTGATGGAGAACTTCATAGTGAGATTAAACTTGAGGAGACCACGTGGGTTTTAGAAGATGGAAAAACTGTGTTTATCACTTTAGAAAAGGTAAGGCAAATCTGATTATCCGATATAATACACTTACAGATGTCCCATAAAGATATTTCATATTATAATATGGAATATCAGTTGCTCGCTGCTGCCAACTGTACCACGACGCCGACGGTGATCATCAACACTAGAATCGCTAATTCATTAAGTGTCAATGCTGACAAGAAATACAATTGGTTAAAATGTCTTTATTTTATTCAGTGAATGTGTGTATACATGTTTCTGGGACATCCTGTATCAAACTTTGTGTGCATGTTCTAGGATCAAAAATAAGAGAAAAATGTTCCTATGAACTGAGTTAAGTCTACCCAGTTCTAGCTCGGAATGTCGAAGAAAAGACCCGCCTTTCCTTCGTCGAAACCTTTCACTCTTCCGAAAGACAGATTCTGACCTCCAGAGCGAAATGAATAAAGTTTTTTTCAAATCATTTTCTGCCAGCTCTGCTTTTGTTCTTCGTTTCATTTCGGCTTCAAACTGATTAGAAATATCGCAAAGACAAACCTAAGGTCAGATATATAAAATTAGGAACTCAGTCGCGTCGCTACAATTGACAGTATTTATATTAAGTAATGAAATATCTATAAGAACGATGCCCCAAATAAACTTTAAAATGTAAGCTGTTATTTTATGTGTGTTATTAAACTTGTTTTCCTTAACCTTTTTTAAACGCAGACACAAAATCAAGGCTTTTCAAGAATTTGCTCTTTTAAGTACGCATTTCCCATTTTCATATTACACCCCTAAGTCTTCTTGCTTCTTCCTCTTCTTCTTCCTCTTCTTCTTCCTCTTCTTCTTCCTCTTCTTCTTCCTCTTCTTCTTCCTCTTCCTCTTATTCTTCTTCTTCTTTTTTTGAGTATCACATGTTCGTGCTTGCGTCGTTCAGTTTCTTATATAATATTGTATTTAATGAAGGTGAATAAAATGGAGTGGTGGAGTCGGCTTGTGCAGACAGATCCGGAGATAAGTACCCGTAAAATCAACCCCGAACCCTCCAAACTGTCGGATCTGGACGGTGAAACACGCGGCCTTGTCGAGAAAATGATGTACGATCAGAGGCAGAGGGAACTGGGTCTTCCTACCTCAGACGAGCAGAAGAAACAGGATATCATTAAAAAGTAAGATGCTTTTTAACAAGTCTGCATGTGTAACTACTATAATACGTCTCCCTGTCGGGATGCGACGTAAATTTATTTAGTGGAAATATAAATACCAGGAGAAAACAGAAGTTAACGTTATATGCTAGTACAGAGATGGTTCTAGAAGTGAATGCAGGACAGTCGTAATATAAAAAGCTAATAAATTATTTTAAAATATGGCAGAAGAAGGATTTTTACATTAATTTGTAAATATTTCAGAATGGCATTAACGCTTAAGGCGAGGTACTTGTAATACAGGGTCCGGCAGAGGAATCTGATGTTTTTGGATTGGTTAAAAACTGCAGGCAGACGGAGTCAGGCTTCACACGGAAGGTGGGGTCTTACTCGACACGTGACGCCATTTCATTAGCATAATTTGTCCGTATTTTTTTTGAAGAAAATGGAAATTTGGTTACTGTTAATTCTGAACGTTACATTGCCATGTTGCGTGACTTCATCTCGCCAGAACTTCGCATACATCGCATTAACCCCAGACGAATTTAGTTCCAACAAGATGGGGCGACTGCCCATACGTCAAGGGCTTCAATGGAGGTTCTAAGACAAATGTTTCCCGAGCACCTCGTTTCTCACCGCGGAGACATACCGTGGCCGCCTCGTTCACCTGACCTTTCGCCTTGTGATTATTTTCTATGGGGTTACCTCAAAGGAAAGGTTTACGTGAACAAACCACGCACTACCGAGGAATTAAAAGGTGCAATTTGTCAGGAAGTTCAGGCAATTCCACGAGATATGGTTCAGCGTGCAATGCGGAACTTCACTAACAGACTGCAAGAATGTGTTCGCAGAAATGGTCATCATGTGGAGGACGTCATTTTTAAATCCAACAACTAACTTTCTAAATTTGGTTTTTATCGGATCTTAAATGGCATCTATTTCTCTATAAGTAAAAAAATAATTTTGTTGTTGTTTATCAAACTACATCTTTGTATTATCATTTCAAAAACCATCAAGTTCCCCTGCCGGAGCCTGTATAACCGTGCTGGGATCAGACTAAAAATGTGGCCGCTGTGATGTGTGCTTAAATTTTATTTTCTAGTCCAGTTTGCATTTCCCCTGTCGTTATTGCCTTGTATCATCCATGATGTTCTTTTTCTCCAGGTTTATGGAGCAGCATCCTGAAATGGACTTCTCAAAATGTAAGTTCAATTGATTGATGACGGACAGCGGATGAAGCCGGCTTTCCAGACTGAAAGTTGCCGAGGACACGACGAATTATAAATCTTGTTTAATCTCAGATAACGTAAGGTTAGCATTTTGCTCAGCAGGTATAATATTTAATTTTCGATCTGTCATCAGACGTTAACAGTTTTAAACACTTTTGATATGGTTTGTAATCTGGACGGATGATATTCCTGTGCAGAGAAAGAGATGTCGAGTCTTCATTTCGAGTTCGATGTTCGTGTGGAATAATGTGAATGAGATGAGAAAATTTGTTGGAAGTTCATGAACTTATTGTCAAAAGACACAGCACATTTTTAACTCTTAGTTATTCAAAAGAACAAGTTAAACGTTCACAAATAGCAACGCACTTGTATTTCACCGAGAAGACGACGATACGAAGCAGCCAAATGCCACTTAAAAATTGTAATATTATTTCCTGGATATTAATCACATTTGGGACAAAATGTGTTCCTGCATTTCACAATTGAATATTTCTAACCCATTTATGTGTCTGTCATTTTTATGATATTGAATAATGTATGTGATATTTTTTTGGCGTTAGCTGACGTTTGGTTAATGCTTTCTACAAGTACATCTGCTGATGTAATGATTATAAAAAAAAAGTACCATAAAATTAGATTACCAATTTAATCCTTTTTTCTTCTGAATTTTTTCACGTGTATATTTTCTGTTACTTTGTCTTATTTCGCTGAGGTCTTTAACAAGAAAGAAGGACAGAGTCCAGATAAGTTTATTTTATTATTTTATAAAAAGTGATAGACTAAGGGAAATGAGTTTTTCATATTTTGAACCCCCCCCCCCCTCGCGTCGCCACAAGCGATTGTCCCCAGTCTGTCCTTTATTATACCTTTCATCCCTAACTTTCATAATTTTTTTTTTAAACTTTACAGCAATGACTGAAAACTACTGAAGTCGACAGGGCTGTCAAAAATATGAGTTTATTTCTCATTGTACTTCTGTGAAAGTCAAGTCGGGTAGGATATAAAATAACATGGCATTGTCACCCAACTTACAGTTCACAATGAAACATTTAGTATGCACGTAAAAATCATGAACCCTTCTAGAATTTGTTTCAGTGAAACCCAAAATTGTGTAAGCAAATTACAAACAAAAATTATTTTATTGCAAGACATCCCTAAATGGAGCAATATTGTATGTATATATAAGTATGTGCATCCTTGTAACTGCACCGTGAAAATAATGTTATAATCAACCAAAAAGTAGATAAGAAATTACGGGTATATCAAAATTTAAGAGGATCGCTTATCAATATGAATCAGTAGTTAACTTGTGCCCACTTCAAATAAAGTTATTTAAATAATGTACAGCCACGGTGGTCTAGCGGTTAGAACGCTGGCCTTGTAATCCTGGGGTCTCGGGTTCGATTCCCGGCGGTGCCCGAATTTATAACTTGTGTCGGGCAAGGCCGTGGTCTAGGCAACACGGAGTTTTCCTCCGTGGCATCCCAACAATTACTCCATTCACACACAGAAGAAGGCAATGGCAAACCACTTCTGGATCATCTGCCAAGAACGTATATGAACAGGTCCCAGTCCGAGAAAAGGATGGAAGGATCCTGTTCATATGGACCTGTCCTCAGACAGAACACTAATAATAATAATAATAACAGCCTTGTACTCATTTTTATTTGAATGAATGAGTATAGCCTAAGATAAGGCCATTCCCGCTTACAAAATGTCAACTGTTACTTGTTATAGAAGGCTGTGTAAAAATAGAGACTGCAGATACGATATTGATGCTTCTCATGATATGGCAGTAAGACTGCAGGTAAGCAAAAATGCAGATAGCAAAATGCACTGTATATTTGGACCAGTGTGGTACATACAGTCCGCAGACCAGGAGAAAATCCCTGCTAGGAATTCGATATACGCACATGCGCGAGATTTCGCCGTGAGTGACAACCGATCCTATAAGCATTCGTTCCACGACCACTGAACGAACAACAGACGACAGGCTTTCATGTGTTCTGATGGGTACAGCTTTAAGATTACCTCACAGCGGCACAGCGATTTAATCTAGAATATTATCGCAACACCTGCAGAACACATTAGAGGTGCGCTCACTACACGCTACTCTTAACTGCTTGATGTTTTCAGTCTGTATAGTAGCGTAAAGCTCTGACGTGTCACACTTCCCACCAATAGCAGCCCTCTAGTCCACCAGGCAGTAAACATACCCCCCGCACCAACCAGAAACGACTTCCCCCCGCAGGGCTTTTCTCCTGGTCTGTGGACAGTAGGTGATGTGTTCACTATTTTTTGCACATTAAGCTATATTTTGATGTTGATTGCTGCTGTAAGGGTATTTTTATTCCATATGTGTAATATAATTAGACAGACTGCCATTTTCAAGTTTCCAGGATGGCCTAGATTAAGTGCAGAATGAGTAAAGAAGTGGAATTGTGAAAGAAATATATTTATTCAACAGTTTTATACAGAAATACATTTGAATTAACCATCCAAGAATATAAATCACTCTGTTTTATCTGTGTAACTAGTGAACTGGACCGCGACAGACACCGCCAGTATAAGAGCTGCAATTGCCAATCCAGTGAATAATATGTTTTGTGTATTTGCGTTCGCTGGTAGCGTATCTTCTGAAGCATCCCCTTCGTGCTGAGCATCGAGTGCGTAGAAATCTGCTTGATCTACAAATAAATGTTAAGCGTTCAGAAGACTCGGTAAGTTTGTACTTCAACTTGTGGACAGGTTAGATCGTGGAAATCTATTTCAAGGGGCTGCATTTAGCGTGTGGGGGGGTCTTACTTTCAGCACAGTACTTTTAAATATTAATAGTGATTTTAGAAAACAAGTGTTGAGAAAGTTTGCATTATTTAATGTTTTCTGGGGCTAACAAATGACGTCAACTGCAAATGTAAACACCTAAACCTAATGCAGAATAATCAATTATAAATATTAATGATGCATTACCATGTAGAGTCAATAATTTCCTCTCAAGGGTCTGAAACTTCTTCCAAAATCATAGGGTGGTATCTACCAAAGAAGCTCGTTAATGGCATATATTCTGTAAAAGCGCGGAAAGGTGTTTGACTCTCAAATAATTTTAGGTCAACAGTACCAGTAAGTGGAACTAAGGGTCCTTAAAAGGTATTTCGTAACAGAGAAAGCATTTTAGTACAAACCTGCCTGCACTTCTAGATCCGTCTGTACGTCTGACTCTTCCACCTGCAGGTCTAGCAACTCCTGAAGTGTCGTTAGAGCTTCCGAGGGGCCTTCTCCAGGAAATAAATAATCAGACAGGGTAACTTGGCTATCTGGCAGCGACACCAAGACTCGTCTTGGTGGCTCATGCAGCGTCAGTCGCTCTGTTATGATAAAGCAGACGTCTGGCAGTTTTTTTTTTTTTTTGGGGGGGGGAGGGGTGTATATTGGGGTTATAGAACTCTAAGTTAAATTTCATTAAATGGTGCCATCTTTATTCTATTTGATGTCCACAACTACTGGTTCGATATTTGACCATTTTGCACTCCATCCAGAAAATTTGGTAAACGTTTCCATTTTTATGGAAAGTATGAAGCATATAAGTTGCTGTAAGTTAGGTACTGTACTTAACATCGTTGAATTTAAAGACTTTTCGTAACTGATTAGGAACCACAAAGCTTCTCAATTCATGTTATACATAAAAAATGTTGAATTATCATCGCCACCACCTACACGATAACTCGTATTTAAAAATGGAATAAACATTCCCTCATTTTCATCATATTTTAAATTTAGTGCTATTTTGTGATATACTTCATTAGGAGATATGAGTCCGGTGAGATTATTTTAATCATTTTCAAATATTACAAGGATTGTTCTGAATTTTATACATTTTTGTTACACCGTGTTATTATTGTTAGGGCATTTTTATTTGAACATCTGTTGTCTACGGCTTCACAATATAACTTCTAAAAATTACTAACTTCAAAGAATAGTTTAGCCTCTTGTCACGAGATAAAACAAAAGAAATGTCTACTACGTAGGGACCGTCAGATAAAGGGATTTATTATTCTTCATCACTATTCCGCCACAGTACATCAGAAAACGACCAAGCTGTGGGCTTTTGAGGTGTAAATTAAAATTTTTCTAAAACGTGTAGTATTCAAACCAGTATTGAAGTATCTTCTTTATTACGCCGTCTCCTTTACAGGAGGTTGGCGACACATTACGAACACGATCCTTCCATCCTTTTCTCGGACTGGGACCTGTTCATATATGTTTTTTAGGCAGGTGATACAGAAGGATTAATAATACCTCTTCCAGCACCTTGTTTTCTTTATAATTGATGATGTTACTTTGGATTACAAGATAACACACCTTGGGGCGATTCGTGTTCCTCTTGTATAAGGGAATCCCAGTGCAATTCAAGTCGTGATGCAAGAGAGCGAACAATATCTTGTTTTACTGCCTGTAAAACAAAATTTTCCATATTAAAAATCCTGATGATAAATTTATGTTCAGCCACATTGTGAATACTGTCCACAGACCAGGAGAAAAGCCCTGCGTGGGGAAATCGTTTCTGGGAATGTTACTTATCAGCTGGACTAGAGGGCTGCTATTGGTGAGAAGTGTGACATGACACAGTTTTACGCTACTACACACAGACTGAAAACATCAAGCAGTTAAGAGTAGCGTGTAGTGAGCGCACCTCTAATGTGTTCTGTGGGTGTTGCGATAATATTCTAGATTAAATCGCTGTGCCGCTGTGAGGTAATCTTAAAGCTGTACCAATTAAAACACATGAAAGCCTGTCGTCTGTTGTTCGTTCAGTGGTTGTGGAACGAATGCTTTTAGGATGGGTCGTCACTCACCGCGAAATCTTGCGCATGCGCGTATATCGAATCTTAACAATCTTAACTGTCTTAAGTAAATACATGCGAGGACTAATACATAAACTATTAATAAATCGTAGGATTTCAGGTTTTCACGGCGGTGCGCCATTATGATGGAGGCAGCAAGGACCTCTGAAACATTTGTACCAGACCACGGCGCAACAACCCAGAAGACAGCCATCTTCTATTAACAAATACTCAGATATGAAAATGTGAATTGCGAATCATCTGGGTTGTGATGCTGTATACCCTTAGAAGATATGTACTGCCTCCATCTTCAGGCTACAAGACTATATGGCATAATGATCCAGATGATGACCATCCACACACAAAGGGAAAGAAATTTCTTTAAACATGGGTAAACAAAGATATTTCGTTTTAACAGTTTATTTTGTTCTAGTGATCAGCTACATATTCTAGGTGACGTTACGAGAATGAAATTTACAGACAATGCCCAAATGTTTATTTTTATGGGAAATTGTAATTTAGTCATGGAAATACACATGAAAATTTGGCTACATCTTATGGAAACTGTTCCTGGACTTCAAAAATTTATACTACACGGGGAGAACTCTGTACTTTCATGAGCCTACACATTACCTGCTCTGCTTCTTGTATTGTCGCTTTCTGATGCAGGAACACTCGGCTTGCCAGAATGCCAAGGAAGTTCATCTCGCCACAACATTCAATAATCTGCATGTCATTATCCTTTTCTGTTCTAGTATTCTGAGGAAGAAAGTTTGAGAAAATACGTTGAACACTGGAAGAGAACATTTTAAAACTGGGAGCATTTAAGGGATGATAAATATTCATTATGATTTGATCATCAATTATGTTTGTAAGTTTTGTAACGTTTCATTTTCCATCATCTGTTATTAGGACATGTTTATTGCCTACGTATTTAAAAATTTATTTTTAATTTCTTTTAAAAGACTTGTACAAAATTCATAACTCTCAAACTGTGTATAAACTTTGCACTAGTAGATTCCTTGATAAAATTTACAGCTCGACACCACATTTTCTATTTCTGGCTTTTAAATAATGAATATATTTACATATTTCTGGGGGGAAAAGGCCTACAAGAACCTAATTTAATTTATATCTAAGGTTTGAGTCACAGGAAAAAAATTGAAACTCTGGAAAAAAAAAAACTATACTTTACAGACATCTACTTATAAATTAAAAACCATTCAAACTGAAAGTGTGATTGAAGCATTATTCAGTTTTGTTTGATATGGATATGATTAGAATTCTTACATTGAAACTAAAGGAACCAATGATAGTAAACTTACGCAGGGAATGTACAAACTGACGGTAAGCATTGTTATTTCTCCACTGTTGGGACCTTTACTGCCGGCTTTCGGTTTCTTCTTCCCAAGTGCATCCAGTGCCTTGGATGAATCTCTTAACTCTCCATCAAACATGCAGACAGCTGACTTTATATTCTCACTCAACGCTCCTAAGATTTCCTGAACATAATATAATCATCATTAATGAGCGCTCTATACCTTACGCACATCACAACCTAGAAGACATCTTCGGAGTCACCGCCCTGAAAACCTCAAATCTTACTTATTTGCCTCGACTATACTAGTTTAATTTATGTAACGAGTCTTACTTTTTGGTTCAGAACAGATAAATTTCTACGGAAAATTTGGTAAATGTTGGCATATGATTACAGAACTTGCAACGGGACGGCTACTAACGGATGACACAAGAAACCGCTGCGACAAATAACTATGGATGAATACACTGAAAACTAAAGCTGTCTCGCTACACGCCGAGTAGGTCGCTTGGGGTGAGTGGAGGTATAGCTCCTACTCTTTCTTGACCTCGGCACTAGATGGGGGTGTGGTCAGCATCACGCCCTGGCCGCGCTTTACCCCCAGAAAAGAACCCCCGGGACCCATTGGATAGGAGGCTGGGCGGGCCCCAGAGCTGGTCTAAACACAGAACAAAGGAGAAATCCTTTGCCCCCGTCGGGGATCGAACCCCGGTAGTCCAGCCCATACCTATACTGACGGCAATCCCGGCTCATGTTTCCATGTCACTCCGTTAGATAAATAGTCCGCTGTTGTGGAGATTACAAACTTAAATGAGAAGAAAAATATGTTATATACAATACAAATCGCATTTTGAATCACACATTTATACCCGTGACAGGTGTCATCTTAAGGCTCATTATTATTTGCTTTCACTATATAAATGAAAACTGTCGGGTAGTTTTTTTAACTCTTTGTCAGCCTTTCGTTGGTCTTATTTAGTCTTGGACGATGGATAATGTCCAGAAAATAGTCCGCTTCAACGCACCGTCGTCACAAACTTTCAGAATTGAGCCTTTTCCTCTGGTTCAATGACCACTTTGTATTTTATCATCATTACTCCTTACTGCGGACATAGTAGCAGACCTTCAATACATTTAAAATACATAATATATAATATAAGTAGTTTACCTGCAGATTACTTCTCAGTGATTGTGTTTGTTTGTCCAGGCTGATTGGAAATACTTGATCTAAATTAATGTGACAGTCTAACTGGTGCCATCTGGTAGCCTTAGACTGGAACTTCCATTCTACAGGGTGAACCGAACTACTCGAATTCTTGGTGTCAATTGACTTGCACATATACCTGGAAATAAAATGTAAATTTCACCTGGAAGTGTTCATTTATGTACGTCCGCTTCACAGATTTGTACTCGGAAGATGCGGCTATACCTTTTCGTGGTACTGCATAAATTTAAAACAAGTTTCTCGGTACTTGGGCTGTCTCCGTGAAGATAGCGGCTGGTTGACAAATTCTTTTTGATATGAAGCAGAACGGCACGTAACTTATACACAGCCTTTGGGTCTCCAAAAACATCCCCTGGACCGACAACGAAAATACCCAGAACCCACATTCCTCCTGGCAACATTCGTGTAACCTGTAACAACGAGCCAAACTAGTATTCCAGCCCTTCCCAGACGAAGGATAGCAAATTGTATTTACAAACAGTATTCATTATGTAAAAACAAAAAAATTTCAGCTCAGAATTTAATCATATTAATTTTTCTTAAATGCTTCAATTTATAAAGAAATATAAATGAGTATTATGCTACTCCCAAGACAATGGCTGTCTTCTGGGAAGTTACGCATGAAGTTTGGTGGAAATTTACTGATATTTCGAAGATAACTGTTGCATCCATCTTAAGAGGGGGTTAAACTGGCAGTCATGGGAAGTAGAGAGTTAATGCAGGGTCAGAGGAAGGGCAAGCCAATCATAGTTGAGGAATGAGGAGTCTCCCTGATGGTGCATGTGACATGACACATATTTATCTGAAACGCTGATATCTACCTACAAGTTTATACGGTGTCATAATCCAGGACATCATCATCACTGTTGTGAGAATCTCAACGTGAATGCACTCAGATATGTTCCTCAGTTAAATACGCAATTACTACAAGTTTGTGCAGATTTTTGGACATTTTTAGTAAAAATTGTGTTATTTTGTAGGCACTTTCTCTATGTGGAAAAATGTTTACATTGTTCATTTTTAGTTTAATTATCTTTAATGCATATATTTATTAACACTTGACCATTGTAGGCTCCTTGCTGTTGCAGAGCTCCCTTATATAAATTCATATGAATACCAACATGTTTTGCATGGTCCGCAACCCAGATTTCTTGAATATCCTGCACAGACTTCAGTGGTTTCTGATGTTCTGCTTTACTTGGAGGCTGAGCTGCACTTTCGTCTTTCACATCTTTAGAATCTAGACATGTTGTTCTTGCCAGGTGAACCACATAATCACGTTGATCTGCATTCTGAAAAGTGAAGAATATATAATTCTATGTATTGCATTTTCAAACACATGAATTTTATGTCTTGCCTCAAAATATGAGACCTCATTCAAGACCCATACAAAACAAACTGCAAAATTGTTTTGTACACTCTGATGTTCAGGATTTTACAAGTGTGTCAATGTTGATATTCTGGGCTGAAACACAACGTGTAAGATACTAATCCTGTAGGTGGAAATTTATGTTTTTCACAGCTTTGGTATTTACCTACAAATCCAACAACATGACAACTTAGACCAACGTCGACACCATTTCCAACCCTAAATTCACTTCTCTTTGTTTATTGTTGTTTTCAGATAATTGACTTTTGAAACGTTGTCAATTGATATATTATACGTAGTTCGAACTGATTAACATACGGCTAGTATTTATTGTTGCTGAAAAAAATCTGGAATGCTTTGGTATTAAGCACTTCCAAATAAAAAGTTTGACGGTAAAACTCCACCTTGTGGTCACATTTATTTATCTCACCTGGCCAAGAATCAACCCAATCACATATGAGTCTGATTTTGCAAGCTGAATTAAATAAGGCAGCAAATTATCGTCTGCTATCACTATCCTCCCCATTTTGTATTCGAATTAATATACCACATACGGATTTATTTTCACACTGTCACATCGTTTATTGCTCTCCGTCTCCTTCCCCTTTCCATAATAACTGAATACGTGCACTACCAACGGTTGTAGAAACCAAAGATTGATTAAATCATGGGTCGTACGTGTTGATGATCTTTTGGTTCGACGAGGCCAAACTGTGAGGTTAGAAAAATTTCCAAGGTTTCGCTAGGTACAATAAACATTGTGTTGTATGTTTTGTGGATAGAACGGTGCTTCGTTTTCTCACAAGTGCTATAGGTTAATTTGGGTTAGGCGAAAAATACCATCTATGTATACCACATAACCGTAAAAAACGAGATAGCTCTGTTACAGAATATAGCAAGAAGAATTGTACTCTTAGGATGGAAGAGACCGAAGATCGAGGCATGTTCGTACAGATTTCTACAGAAGAAGCAGGAAAATGTCTTGTGGGGCTAAATTTCGAACATTTTTGGCCATAGGTGTTTTGAGGTAACTTGGTCACTGTCGACTTGCATTCTATGCTTGACATCCTGCTCCAGTTCGAGGGGTGACATGATACAGTTACAGTGATATAGGTTAGTACCTTGAACACTTGATCACCATCTGTGCATAAATAGTGATTTAATTTCTGAAAGTTTGAGAGCTGATGCCTGCTGAGAGGATCATATATGGATTCATGGTGTTTCAGAACAATGTGCTGAGGGGAAATTTGGGGTCCAGGAAGGAGAAGGTAACAGGAGGATGGAGAAAATTTCATAATGAGGAACTTTACAGATTATTTACTTAAGCAAATATTACTAGGATCACGAAATAAAGGTCAGTATGTTGGTAGTTGTGCAGATGGTTGCTAGAGAAGGGTGTGTTGATTGTTGTGTGGTTTTTATTAAAAGTATACAAATGTATACAAAGATAAAAAACAAAGACTTTGTCAGTTATGACAGTCCATAATTAATCAGTACACAATTGAGACCAAGACCATTTCTATGGTTTAAATATTGCTAAACATATCTGTGGGAGAGTACATTCAGGAATTCTCATCAACTGATAATGTGTATTTTATCCAGGATAGTTAAAATGATTTCATGGGGGATTAATAAATTTATAAATAGAAAAGCACACACAATACAATGGAATGTATAATCACCTGGCCAATATTCAGCAGAGTGATTATGAAATAATGGTACTGTATTGTTGTTTGCCTGAGCCAGTCATGGAAGCCCCTCATTCACTCTCTCAAAGGTCCTAGGAAGCATGTGATGTACCAGTACTGACTAGGCCACTACACTGCCCTTTTCAGGACAGCACTCAGCCCCTGCCAGTCCTTATTTCCACTCTCCGATCTCTCGTGTTATTCCATCCATTTCTCCTTGTATATTTCCTTTGTTCCTTGCACCACAAATTTTGTGTTTCTTAGAAACTTGTGAATGTATAAGAGTATTAAGAAATTAAAATGACTGATTTCAGGTGTTGTATGTAATTTGTTTTGTTGCAGGCAGTTTAATGTTTTAGTTTTGGTATCCTAGCCTGCGCTCCGTTTGAATCTGTTCAAGTAAGGCCTTAATGTGCTGTAAGAGATCCACAGACGTGTTCTCTTTAAACATCGGGTTTCTTCGAACACAGTTAATTACAAATTAGTTTATGGTTAACTGTCTGTTTTAATATTATTAAGCTTGTGCATAGATGTGTAGCATGTGGAAAATTAATCTTGGGATAGGAAGCGAAATGCAAGTAGATAACTGCCAATGATCAAAACCAAATAAGGAAAGATTATCGTAAATTGAATGTGAGGGATGTGAAATGCTGAAAAGTTGAACATCTTAATATAGATGCATGCTGGAGACTTTCATGTAAATTAGCCATTGATCAGACATTATATAAAATACTGACTGATCTCGGTTATACTTATTATGAATACATATTAATTATGTATGGAAATTTGTTAGAAAAATAACCAAGGAAACATTTGGGTGTAAGGAAGAACAGTTCCAAGGTCATCAAGAGGCATCCATTCTTCGATGCCAGTTTTATCCCAGTAATACAAATAAATGTTTCTGTTCTGAACTGTATCTTAGCCATGTAACATTTACTAAGGAAATCAAATACAATCTTAACATCCGCACAGTTTGAGACACTTTTTTCTAGATTACTTGATTCTTTCGAAATTTAAGTAAAATTGTGAAAAGTGTGTTTACGCCTTAAGCAGAACTGCTTGTGTGGGAGGTGGTGAACAGAATGAGACATCGACAGTGAAGAGCATAACGGGATTGAGCGAGAAGTCGGCTCCTCCACATACGTTCTACCTGTCCATTGCCACTTCGTACTCAAGTGGGTTATATTGTTTAATTGGTACTTGTGGGTTATCGGGACACATCGCTTTAAAAATAGGTTATGTTAGGTTAATGTGTGTGGATAAATGACATATACTTGAAAGTTATTATATTTTATTTCAATAAATGACAACCTAACCTAACTAATCTTAATGTTATATTTGTTTATGAACTTATCTTGATCCATTGTTATATTTTGTAATAAGTGATTTTAATTTTCTCGTGTGATTTCCATGAAAGTGAAATTCCCTCAAACCTTTTAATCTTATGAGTGGAGATGTTGCAAGAGGTTTCTCCACCGAATTCTGCATGCATTTCTTCCATCTTGATCCTACACATGTTCTCTTGCAGCTGCCTAACAATATCAGGTAACCTGTGAACAGTACGAAGTTGTTCGCCAAGTAATATCCAGAATTACTCAATTATTTCATTCTTCTTAGGACCAAGAACTGATTTTGTGTGTATGTTTGAAGAGACGTTTCAGTGCTAGTCATCCTTTCAATCTTTGATTTCTTTAGAAACAACTGAAATCATGAAATATGTTTATATCTTGACGTACTGAAGCGTCTGACCATTTCAAACTGGGGTGAGTAGATGAATATGAATGTATGGGAGTCTTGTAGCACTCCGATGCAAAATTCTGTACTTTGAATTTAAATTTATGCTTGATAAATGTTGCACTCATTTTCTTTCTTGAAGTTCAATGAAATAAAATTGTAATAAAATAAGACATTGTGCTCGGAAGTTCACGCAGAACTTCGTGTTACTACTACAAATCTAACGTAATGTAACATGGATGTGGTTTAAGGTTATAAAAGATTATGGTAAATATTAAAATGGTTATATTTGTTGGACAGCTGTATCGATTTAAAAGCTGCACTATGCTTGCAAGGCCAACTGTGTTTTCGTTTTCGGGAAGAGGAAAGGATATAAATTCATGTTAACCTTTACACGATCGATTTTGAAAGTCTCCGGCTATTAGAAAGATTATAGGGCGTTTTGTGGACGATGCATTGCCAATACCTTCTTGTAACAGCCATGTAAAACCACAAGAAAATAACCTAGCCAGAGACATGGTAAGCGGGTCGAGTTTTGTAATCGATATCTGCCAAATGCAATGCAGAGTAGTTATCGACTCTGCAAGTTTTCTGTGACGTCAGTTGCATAATGGCGAATGATCCATTGGGACCGTCAGTGCGCCGGTTCGATCTATGTCTAGAAACGAAAACCCCTGCATAACCGAGGCCTTCACAAAACAGCAAAGGAAGGTGACGTATCAACTGCTGAGTTTATTTAGCATTAAATTAAATAGGGTTGAGATGAATGAAAACTATGAATCTGAAAGTGTATAAGGCGCCTGCGTGCAGTGTTAAGGAAGTATCCAATCACTGCCATGGCAGGTAAGAGCCACGAACCACGTGGATCAGTGAAGTCAGTCCACAGCCAGGATTCGAACAGTGTGTGTACTGAGTGAGTGAAACAGGTTTCCACGATGCCAACTCGGTCCGAACGAGACTGGAGAGCACCTGAAGTAAGTTACTTCTCTAGTTATATGGGCCAGGTGGTTTTTAGTACGCAACCAGACATTACGTATATTTATTTAGTTTGGTTAATGTTTTCGTGGTCTGTCTGCAGTACAATGTACGTGCAGCTACAAGCAATGCGTGACTGCGTATCTTGCCTACAGTACATTGCCAATTATTTAATCATAAATACGTACGTCTTTCGTGAAATCATATTACGTTGTGAAACTCCTAATCGAATTGTTAAATATTTAAACTTTGAGATGTGCCAATACATACTATAAATTTTATTTTGTTATACTTACTGCATTTTGCAGACTTTTCCAAATCATTCGTAATGAAAACAGAGAAATGGGGTACTGAGATGCGTGATCTCTGGTTCAGATAATTAATTAGGGGTAGAAATATTACGACGAATAATCATAATGTTGTCATTAAATGAAGTAATATCGAAATTGTGTTTCTTAAAGTTTAAATTTTGTCCACATTTCACACGATGCACCAAATTTCCGTGCAAAGAGTCAACCCTTGTTTTGTTTCAGACTGAATTGAATTTGAGGTTAACGTAGAATAAGAGTTTTAATGAACAATAGAAACTTTTATTACAGATATTTCTCACCGAATGTAATGTTCTTGTAGAAACAGGGGAAACAGGTTTGGTATGTTTTGCATGGACTATGTGTATAACCTTGAATCGCTTTCATAAACTGGCTACAAATTTCTTGTTTTCCGCGCCATCGTAAATTGTGCGTAATGTTAATACTTCTTTTGTCTTGATTATTAACTTATTATTATACAACGAACGGCGGGCAACATCATTGTTATCAATTATCGCAGAATAAACAGTTTAATCTAAAGGATCATAACATTATGATCGCCTTATACCATAATGACGATACATTTTACTGGCTTCGTCATATGTAAGTTTCAGAGGGTTGGGACTGTTTCCACATTTTGCATTACAACCTGTTATGTAGACTATCTTTTAATTTTTTCTACTTCTCTAAAAGTAACGTTACCCGTAAAATACTATTGTCGTACAGGGTGTTTCAATATTTTTTCGTCGGAAACAATGTGTTAATATATCTGATTTCAGACGTAACCCATTATCGTTTTTTTTACTTGGTATATATGGAGACGTCCTTACGAATCGGTTTTCGTAAATATTCATAAATCTTAATCTTATGATTTCCCGCCCACAGTATAATGAAATCTTTTCTTTAAAAAAAATGTTAAAGTATAGATATTTTCCAACGTAGTCTTTTGTTTTGATTCTGATGTTCATTTATTGCTGATACAAATCTGTTTTCTCACCTAGATACTCTACTGAGTTGACTAGTGCAAAACTAGATGGCGCGCGCGACGAAACGCTGAAAGCGGAGGGCGTAAGAATTATCGGAGTGCTCCAGTATTACCAACTGATGAAATAGTCTTTTCTCTTACTTACGTTACCAAATTCATAGGAAGCAGTTAAGTTAGCAGTAATTATGCACGCTGATCGTTGTAAGATTAGCAGCCTAAGAATTTAATTTTGAACAGTTATTCTTTATGAAACTTTCGCATTGCCATCGATATCGGCGTGATTTTTGGTGATGGGCGATTTATTACAAGTAAAGTAATAATTATTATAAGAATAATTGCTGCATAAGGCTGTAGTAATAACCTGTTTATTCTTGCTAGAAGCACGTGCCGTCCGATAATGGACCTAACAGACCTTCGACCCAAGAGTAAGCAAGCGATTGGTATCACGACTTGATGCAATATTTATACAGGTCAACAAGGCGTGTGACCTTTAGAATATTTCCAAAAATCTTCTGGACCTAGCCGTATTCATGTTTATCAGCTTCGATGCTTGTCTTAGCTCGACTTTTCGAATACTCTGTGTTAACATTTGCTTCCGTGTTACAGTATATCTTGTTTACCAATTGTCGGAAATAATATTTGGATAAAACCGAGGTTCCAAAGTCATGTAACAATGTGAAACACACCTTGTTCTTATTTAAGTACATTAATATGCATATCATGAAATATATTACAAATGTTCGCGTGTTAGTTACGACAACTATATACCAAAATGTCTGTACATATAATGCCCGTATACAATGTAATGCCCACGTACAACAGACTATTATTTTTAAAAAACAGCGTAAGGAGACATTTGAACATATTTCATACGCTGTACATTCGTTTTGTTAATCAATTTGCAACACAAAGTCAAGGCTTTCTGAATTTATGGTGTTTTCTCAACAATCAGTTTCCGATAAACAAATGAACGTATAGATAATTCCTTAACGTGCCCACAGAGTGTAGTAAGATAGTTCCTTAACGTGCCCACAGTGTAGTAAGATTGTTCCTTAACGTGCCCACAGAGTGTAGTAAGATAGTTCCTTAACGTACCCACAGAGTGTAGTAAGATAGTTCCTTAACGTACCCACAGAGTGTAGTAAGATAGTTCCTTAACGTACCCACAGAGTGTAGTAAGATAGTTCCTTAACGTACCCACAGAGTGTAGTAAGATAGTTCCTTAACGTGCCCACAGAGTGTAGTAAGATAGTTCCTTAACGTGCCCACAGAGTGTAGTAAGATAGTTCCTTAACGTGCCCACAGAGTGTAGTAAGATAGTTCCTTAACGTGCCCACAGAGTGTAGTAAGATAGTTCCTTAACGTGCCCACAGAGTGTAGTAAGATAGTTCCTTAACGTGCCCACAGAGTGTAGTAAGATAGTTCCTTAACGTGCCCACAGAGTCTAGTACAATAGAATTAACACACGCAGTCGTATTTACGTTAATCCCTGTACTAATTTCTCTTTTTGTGTTTAAAAATAAGTTGTCTTTGCCTTAAATGAATTTGAATATCTGATAAAATATCGCCGAGATTATGAGTGTGAATGCGTGTTTATATGTGACCGATCTAAATGTTTTTAATTGATGAAACTCAGTCATAGGAATACACGTGAAGTTTTCGACTTCATTTTACGCACTTTTTGAAATAAACGCAGATAAAATTGATCTCAAATCCTTACAATTTATAGAAAGCGTAATTAAAAGAAGCGAAATGTTATTCTTAGTCTGTGAAAATGTGGCCAGTTGCATCACCAATAAACTTCCGAATTGTAACTGCACAAGAATATGATATTCGTTGATCATTTCACTGCCCCGAAGAACGAGAGGTCGAAACCAAACTTTTTAGATCGATGTCCTTCGACTTAAAGTCTCTTAAATGGAAAAAACAGAGGTTAAAATAAATACAAACTGTAAGTGCGCCTGTAGATTTACATGGATGTGAATCCTGGAAGAATGTAATTTGAAGGTGATGAAAATATTCTGAGGGGAATATTTTTAACTGAGAGAGGAGAACAGGATTACGTAGAAAGGTGTTTCGTAATTTATCTTTTCCGCCATGTAATGTCATATATGGTCTGCGTGATATGACGATTTTTTTTATTGAAGTTAAAAATGTTTCGAAAGATCTACTGAAAACACGAAATATTTAGAAAAAAAATCTTTATTAAGTGTAATAGTTCATGGCAGTATCGTGCATTTATTACATTCAAATTTATAAACCATTAAAGAGTCACACTTTGTTTATCCAAGAGTGTATCCACTTCACGTAATTAGGCAACTTCGTGTATATGCCGAATTTTCCCCTCTTCCCGCATCCTTCCCCGAAACTCGTTATTCCAAAAATGGTCCAGCGGTTCCTGTCGTCTTTGCACAGGAGCGGTCCTCCCGAGTCGCCCGCGCAGGAGTCCTTGCGTCCTTTCTCGTACCCGGCGCAGAACATGTTTTCCGTGATGTGGTAGTCCATGTACACTCGTCTGCAAACGTTGCTGGCCACAATCGGCACCTTGAAACCAAACACAGATCGTGGAGATTATAAATTATCACAGAATTACGCCGAATCTGTGTCTTAAGAGAAAAACAACAACAGCGGACCGCGTCCATGGAACTTGAGAACCAGACGATCTCTTAACTGGCCAATTAATTCAAATTATCCGTTACCATGGCGAGATTTCAGGTTCTCACGGCAACTAATATGAAGAATGCTGTCTTCTGGTGTGTCGTGGTGTGTAATCCCGGTAAAATTTTACCGACGTTTCAGAGGTACTTCCAGAAGACAGCCATGTTTACAACAACCTGTCACTGGACCGTGTCCTGAGTCAGATGAATCCACTATAACCTCTCACCCTTTTAATATTATCATCTTTTACACATCTAATTCACGGCAATGAATATGAAGAAGGCTGTCGTCTGGTGTGTAATCCCGGTAAAATTTTACCGACGTTTCAGAGGTACTTCCAAAAGACAGCCATGTTTTACCATGTTTACAACAACCTGTCACTGAACCGTGTCCTGAGTCAGACGAATCCACTATAACCTCTCACCCTGTTAATATTATCATCTTTTACACATCTAATCTTTAATATTGTCTCTTCCCTTCAAGTTTTCCAGCAATTCTTGTGTCCCCTCTGACGTCATCTTCGTTTGTCTGACCACCCAAATAATATTTGGTGAAGATTATAAATTACGAAGTTTTTCGTGATGAAATATAAAAGACAGCCATGTTTTACCATGTTTACAACAACCTGTCACTGAACCGTGTCCTGAGTCAGACGAATCCACTATAACCTCTCACCCTGTTAATATTATCATCTTTTACACATCTAATCTTTAATATTGTCTCTTCCCTTCAAGTTTTCCAGCAATTCTTGTGTCCCCTCTGACGTCATCTTCGTTTGTCTGACCACCCAAATAATATTTGGTGAAGATTATAAATTACGAAGTTTTTCGTGATGAAATATATTCCACCCTAATCTTGTTTACTCTCTCAAATGTCCAGATATTCCACTGAAACTTTGTTCTCAAACACTCTCAGCTTAGTCAACTTACAATTTTGGTATCTATACGAAAAGCTTTCTCAAGGTCACTTCTTTATGAATTAAAAATTAGGCTAAATTAGCTACCCACGGGTAATATGGGCATCAGAATGGGTGATGTTACCATCTGCTACTAGGTTCGGCGTTTGCATTTGAAATGAGATACTCAAGATTCAGACATTTCCTCGTCTGTTTGATTATTTTATGACGTGACGTCAGTGATTGAGGTTACGTGTAATTGAATGACGCAATAAGATGCCTTGAGACTGTCATGGAACGGAAAAGTCGTGGTCTAACGTTATGCATTGTCAGGGATTCGATCCAGTGTCTTGCAAATGGGAATCAGACACTTTACTTATGCGCTAACTCGTTCGTCTTCAAGAAAAATGATTCTGGACTCACATCAATCTTATTAAGCTAAAATTTTTGCCACAAACAAAGGACAGTCAATCTGTCACACTATAAGGACCCATCCATGTTTCTGTCTGTCTGTCTTCCACAATTTCCCAGGAATTAGACAACGTGCAACCCTAGGGATTATTTATCTGAGCACAATCTTGCAACTGGTGAGACCAAGGTCATTGTTTGAACACGTAAAGTTCGACAAATGTCTAAAACGCCGTTGATGCTCGAACTATTTGAGGTTAAGCCAAAGGCGATCTTGGGCGTAAAAATGGAGTAAGGAGAGAATGTAATTTTCTTTCTTAACGCATCCAAATTAATGTCAGTTACATCCCACAAGTCCCTGAAGAAAGTAAATTATAAAATCGAGATTCTAGCGGTTAGAACGCTGGCCTTGTGATCCTGGGGTCTCGGGTTCGATTCCCGGCGGTGCCCGAATTTATAACTTGTGTTGGGTAAGGCCGTGGTCTAGGCAACACGGAGTTTTCCTCCGTGGCATCCCAACAATTACTCCATTCACACACAGAAGAAGGCAATGGCAAACCACTTCTGGATCATCTGCCAAGAACGTATATGAACAGGTCCCAGTCCGAGAAAAGGATGGAAGGATCCTGTTCATATGGACCTGTCGTCAGACAGAACACTAAATAAATAAAATACGTCTTGAAAAAGAGAGCATTTGGGAGACCAAGACGTAGGTGGAAGGTTTACGATGTATCTTGTGGGCACGAGAATTTGATTGGTTTCTCTCATTATAGTAATCAGTCGCTGGCTCTGGTAACACTACACGGTTTTAAAACACAGACAATCAAAATGTTTACTGCCTTGATAACTTAAAATCTTAAATCAGCTCGATACTCGTGATCGAGATATTCTTTGGTTTTTAAACAATTGCTCACGTATTTCATTTTGAAAAGTCGAATCTGCTCTTAAATGTCATTTTTGCAGCCACTGATTATGATGTAATATATTACAATGGAATACGACACCAGCGTTGTTAAATACGTAGATTTTATTCTAATTCCATGTAACTCGATCTTTCTTGAGCATTTAACATTCAACTACTCAAGATTTTCCACACCACACGACGATTTAAAGCCAGATGAACCCAATTCAGCCCGTCCCACTCCAATTTTTAAGCTCCGTTTTAATATTATCTTTCCCTCTTAAACGTCTTTCCTTAAAGTCGCTGTCCTTTCTTTTCACGAGGTCGCAGCTTCAAATCTCGACACAGAGACCACCTATCCTGATAGGTTATTCGTAGTTTTCCTCAGGCAAATTCAGCGGAATTACTGAAAGATATCCTTTCCAACTCAGTCAATAGCTTCTGATGGCGTCGTTAAATAAGCAACAAGTAAATAAGACCTGTCATCTACGAAGAACCTCTACGAGCCCACATTAAAAATATGACTCCAAAATAGAGCCACATTCGATCATATTTTTAAAATAAAACATCTTTAAGAAATACAGGGTGTTCTAAAATTATGTGCCGTAAATTATGGGGGAGCTTTTGGATGTCAATATGAGTTTATCTGGAGCGTTCGAACGCACTCGAACCATTTTCGGTATCGTGCTAACGAGGATGACCTTGAAGTGTTTCGACTGCGTTTAGATTTCTACAGAAGTATTTCCAGACGCGTGTTCATCGCACCGTGACTCATACTGACATCCTGGAGCTCGTCGTGTATTTGTACCGACCGTCGCTTCGTGTAGGACGTCCGTTCCGAACGGGTCTCCACTGCGCCTTTTCCCCCAGCCAATGATCGTACACAGCTGCTGTGCGGGTGGCAGTTCCTGTTTGTAACGGGGCAGGCAGGCGAAGCCCCAGTATTTGTCGGGACGCACCTCGGCGGGCAGCCTGAGCAGCGCCACGTCGTTGTCCACCGTATCGGCGTCGTAGCCAGGGTGCGTCACAGCCCGCTCCACCTACAGGCCGTGGGTCACACGTTAATATTCCACGACGTTTCGGGAGCTAGTTACCAAGATACTTCACTACCTAAAGAGATTCGGGTTCGATTCCGAAAGTTATCACTAATTTTAAAAAAATAAAATTAAAAAATCTTTCATTGTAATGACAGTCGATCAACTCTCGAAACGTCTGTTTTAGCCAAAACAATTTCGATGTTACAAATCATTAAATAAAAAAACACGCTTTAAACCCCACAAATTTTGCCATTATCACTTTGTGATTCAGTTTATACCAGGGGTCGGCAACCTGCGAGTCGCGAGCGTCTATATTAGGTTTCTAGCGTAATCAGGAATTTAATCGTCTGTAGGCCGACGTTTTTACTGAACTTATCGTTATAAGTCGCGTATAAATTCATGTTACATATTCGAGAAAGCCCCTCTTGTAATTTAAGGTCTGGACAAGTTACGTAACTAAGGTTTCCACGGTAATTCTCATGTCATCTTGAAAAAAAAATACGAAGTGGTCCCGTAAAATACTCTGTGAGCCTTTTCCTTCGTACTTTCCCTTATACGGTTATCGAAATTTCACGCTACTCGATATCCGTGACTAAATCGACCTTCATGAGTCGACCAGAGTTCATAACAACCCACCAACGGTTTGAAAATAAACCAACATTTGTAAACTTGGTCACAAGACTGAAGACTACTAGCCGGAGGTTAATCTTTCTTACCCGGAACTCCAGTTCGGTGCCTTCATTTTCGTCTAGGTTGTGTTCGCCCATCCTGACGTAGAGACGTTTTCTGACGCAGTGGGCGGCTGTCAGGACCCAGTGGGGGTCGATCAGCGTTCCCCCGCAGAACGCATCCTGCAATTTCACACCGTATAATTACAAAATTAATCTGTGCGCCCTGAGGTACGCTCCATCTACTTTAGCCCCAATGAAACGGCCTCGAACTCACTCACAGTAAAGGAAAGTCCCTGCCCCTGGTCGACTAACCAGTAGCCAGTAATTATTCTGGAATTATCCTGCGTAAAAAGTATAATTCTTTTTTACCAGACACGTTTATCGGAAAGGATATTAACTCTATAGAACGCGGTTCTAACGTCACCCGAGCGATGGATAGGTGAACTTAGGATTTCATACAAATCAGAGAATTCCTTCGACCAGCTTCTCGAAATTGGTTAACCATGTGATTATGTTGTCATGCTTATTTCTGCCGAACGGTAGGTCTCTGAATGGTCATACTCATGTCACGTCGAGGTCACGGATAGGTCAAAGTCATGTCAAGGTAACTACAATATTGGGCCAAGGGTTTGCCGAATAAACGAGTTTAAGATTTTCAAGGTCATTTCAAATCAATCTTTTCCTTACGCTTATTTGTGCAGAACTGTAGTTACGTGAGTAACCATACTAATGTATATTTAAGGTCACGGATAGGTAAAGGTCATGCCAAGTTCACGACAATACCAGCCCAAGGGTTTGCGGAATAGAGACCTTGAATATTTTTAAGGTCATATTACTCAACATTTTTTCTGACGACCTGTAATCACCATACTCATGTCAAGTTGAGGTCACGGATAAGTCAAGGTCATGCTAAGGTCACAACAATATCAACCCAGTGGTTATGTTGGGTTTGGTAGGTTGCGTTGGTTGGGTTAGCCTAGTTTCGGTTAGGTTAGGTTAGGTAACTTTAGGTCGGATTAGGTTAGGTTGCGTTATGTTTGGTTAGGTTTAGGAAGTGTTAGGTTATGTTATGATGTTTCAGGGACGTTTTTCCTCAGGCATATGTCAATTTTGTGTAGGTTAGGTTAGGTTGGGTTAGGTTAGGTTGGGTAACTTTAGGTCGGATTAGGTTACGTTAGGTTGCGTTATGTTTGGTTAGGTTTAGGAAGTGTTAGGTTATGTTATGATGTTTCAGGGACGTTTTTCCTCAGGCATATGTCAATTTTGTGTAGGTTAGGTTAGGTTGGGTTAGGTTAGGTTGGGTAACTTTAGGTCGGATTAGGTTACGTTAGGTTGCGTTATGTTTGGTTAGGTTTAGGAAGTGTTAGGTTATGTTATGATGTTTCAGGGACGTTTTTCCTCAGGCATATGTCAATTTTGTGTAGGTTAGGTTAGGTTGGGTTAGGTTAGGTTGGGTAACTTTAGGTCGGATTAGGTTACGTTAGGTTGCGTTATGTTTGGTTAGGTTTAGGAAGTGTTAGGTTATGTTATGATGTTTCAGGGACGTTTTTCCTCAGGCATATGTCAATTTTGTGTAGGTTAGGTTAGGTTGGGTTAGGTTAGGTTGGGTAACTTTAGGTCGGATTAGGTTACGTTAGGTTGCGTTATGTTTGGTTAGGTTTAGGAAGTGTTAGGTTATGTTATGATGTTTCAGGGACGTTTTTCCTCAGGCATATGTCAATTTTGTGTAGGTTAGGTTAGGTTGGGTTAGGTTAGGTTGGGTAACTTTAGGTCGGATTAGGTTACGTTAGGTTGCGTTATGTTTGGTTAGGTTTAGGAAGTGTTAGGTTATGTTATGATGTTTCAGGGACGTTTTTCCTCAGGCATATGTCAATTTTGTGTAGGTTAGGTTAGGTTGGGTTAGGTTAGGTTGGGTAACTTTAGGTCGGATTAGGTTACGTTAGGTTGCGTTATGTTTGGTTAGGTTTAGGAAGTGTTAGGTTATGTTATGATGTTTCAGGGACGTTTTTCCTCAGGCATATGTCAATTTTGTGTAGGTTAGGTTAGGTTGGGTTAGGTTAGGTTGGGTAACTTTAGGTCGGATTAGGTTACGTTAGGTTGCGTTATGTTTGGTTAGGTTTAGGAAGTGTTAGGTTATGTTATGATGTTTCAGGGACGTTTTTCCTCAGGCATATGTCAATTTTGTGTAGGTTAGGTTAGGTTGGGTTAGGTTAGGTTGGGTAACTTTAGGTCGGATTAGGTTACGTTAGGTTGCGTTATGTTTGGTTAGGTTTAGGAAGTGTTAGGTTATGTTATGATGTTTCAGGGACGTTTTTCCTCAGGCATATGTCAATTTTGTGTAGGTTAGGTTAGGTTGGGTTAGGTTAGGTTGGGTAACTTTAGGTCGGATTAGGTTACGTTAGGTTGCGTTATGTTTGGTTAGGTTTAGGAAGTGTTAGGTTATGTTATGATGTTTCAGGGACGTTTTTCCTCAGGCATATGTCAATTTTGTGTAGGTTAGGTTAGGTTGGGTTAGGTTAGGTTGGGTAACTTTAGGTCGGATTAGGTTACGTTAGGTTGCGTTATGTTTGGTTAGGTTTAGGAAGTGTTAGGTTATGTTATGATGTTTCAGGGACGTTTTTCCTCAGGCATATGTCAATTTTGTGTAGGTTAGGTTAGGTTGGGTTAGGTTTTGTACCCGTACATTGACGTCTCGAATTCACCTTCGTTTTCCTCGTCATTTTGCTGTTCTATCTGTCTGTAGATCCATCTCTGGCAGAAACTTCCTTCCACGTAGCAATAAGCCACTTCTCGCATGTAGTCGTTTCCGCACAAAGCAGGTCGTTTGCACCACCTGCGTAATGCGAGACAGAGGTGAATTACTGAAGTACGATAACGCCTTATAAGCGTGGTTAATAAAACGCTTCGAAAATTCTGAAACTGTAGAGATTACAGATAGACGCAAAGAGATCAAAATTTCATTCGGGAATATTTTTTGAGATCAGATTTAATTTGTAGCATATTCGTTGTCCGTTATCTCGAAACGTGAAAGTTCTTAAATAAGATCAAATCTAAAAGTTCTTGACGATGGTGAAGAGTCAATTGAATAAAAATTTCCTTGGATATTATCCATCGTCTAGAAAATATAAAACGTAAAACGATGTTTCGGAGATAAGGATTAGCTCTATCTAGTGGGCCCAACTGTGTAGGAACCTGAAGACGCAGATAGAGTCCCATCTCCGAAACGTCGTTTTACGTTTTATATTTACTAGACGATGGATAATATCCAAGAAAATTTTTATTCGACGGAGATAGAGATTAGCTCTATCTAGAGGGCCCAACTGTGTAGGAACCTGAAGACGCAGATAGAGTCCCATCTCCGAAACGTCGTTTTACGTTTTATATTTACTAGACGATGGATAATATCCAAGAAAATTTTTATTCGACGGAGATAGAGATTAGCTCTATCTAGAGGGCCCAACTGTGTAGGAACCTGAAGACGCAGATAGAGTCCCATCTCCGAAACGTCGTTTTACGTTTTATATTTACTAGACGATGGATAATATCCAAGAAAATTTTTATTCGACGGAGATAGAGATTAGCTCTATCTAGAGGGCCCAACTGTGTAGGAACCTGAAGACGCAGATAGAGTCCCATCTCCGAAACGTCGTTTTACGTTTTATATTTACTAGACGATGGATAATATCCAAGAAAATTTTTATTCGACGGAGATAGAGATTAGCTCTATCTAGAGGGCCCAACTGTGTAGGAACCTGAAGACGCAGATAGAGTCCCATCTCCGAAACGTCGTTTTACGTTTTATATTTACTAGACGATGGATAATATCCAAGAAAATTTTTATTCGACGGAGATAGAGATTAGCTCTATCTAGAGGGCCCAACTGTGTAGGAACCTGAAGACGCAGATAGAGTCCCATCTCCGAAACGTCGTTTTACGTTTTATATTTACTAGACGATGGATAATATCCAAGAAAATTTTTATTCGACGGAGATAGAGATTAGCTCTATCTAGAGGGCCCAACTGTGTAGGAACCTGAAGACGCAGATAGAGTCCCATCTCCGAAACGTCGTTTTACGTTTTATATTTACTAGACGATGGATAATATCCAAGAAAATTTTTATTCGACGGAGATAGAGATTAGCTCTATCTAGAGGGCCCAACTGTGTAGGAACCTGAAGACGCAGATAGAGTCCCATCTCCGAAACGTCGTTTTACGTTTTATATTTACTAGACGATGGATAATATCCAAGAAAATTTTTATTCAATTGTTAAATAAGATTATAAAATTGTCCATGTTCTTTGAAGTGGATGCGAGAGTTCTTATATCACTTTAAGGAGAGATCAGAGGAAAAGATAATAACAGAAGACTGCAGAAAAGCGTATTATTAGGAGCTTTATAATTTGTATTCTTCGCCAAATATTAGCTTGATCAAATATTGAAAGATGACACATTTTGGGGGGTTCAGCAAGGATGGGGGAAACGGGAAATGTGTACAAAATTTTAATCTTAAAAAAACCTGCAGGGAGGAGACCACTCAGAAGACGTACGTATTAAAGTGGACATTAAAACATATTGTAGGCGTAAACGTGTGTGTACTGAATTCGTCAAGATAGCGACCGGAGATGTTATTCTGCGAAGAAGATAATGGACTTTCGGGTTCCATAAAATGCGGCAGATTTCTTGGCCAGAAGCCCTCAGCTCCTAGGAGGTAGGACCACTTTTGTTCCAGTGTCTGGAACTCCCGATTCAGCAAATGCGCCGATCGTCTCGCTTTAAGTAACACACGAACCTGTATCTCTGGGTAGTGCACGAGATTGAGCATGCAGACCACCTGCCCCACCTCCCGAACCAAATGTTGCTGTACAGTCCTCTAGGTCGGAAATCATCAGATCTCCGCCCTGATCGTTCAAGCTCGTATCTGTGGTGATTCGCTGGTGACAATGGCTGCCGGCGTCTGCCGTGACCTCCTCCGACTTCTGACATTCGGACCACCCGGAAAGACCTGTTTCTCCCCCGTTTCTGCCTTCTTCGTTTCTGACAGCGTCTCCTCTTGGGATCGCAAGGTCGCTTCTCCTGCCCGACACAAAGAATTCATCCAGTCAGTGAGAAAAATTTGCATCCCTTAAACTTCACCGAATATTGGGGTGACCAAATCAATGCTGATGGGATGGGATGGGCGGTGTCGACCCCATGCGAACACGTAAAAGACTTTAGGCTCGTTTCACACATATACGTTGACCGTCCAAACGGCACCGTTTACACGGAACGGTGAAAACTTCACACACAAATATACGGCGACCGTCCAAACGGCACCGTTTACACGGAATGGTGAAAACTTCACACACACAACCGATCATACACGGAGCCGGTTATTCTGTTGTTTGTTGCCAACATAACTTGACAGTAAAACAAAAAGTTCTCAGTTATCGTCTCTCTAGAGCCCGAAGGTACATAGAACGCTCGTTTGGAATATTAAGTAATAAATGGAGGATCTGATTTTGCTGTAGACATTGTCAAGGCTTGTGTTGTTTTATACAACTTTGTTCGGGAGAGAGACCGCTACGAGGCAGAGGATACATTGACAATCACAGGACTTGATAAAATACGTGGTGAAGAAGTAGTGCGCGGAGGAATATCGGCAAAGAGTGTAAGAAATCTTTTAGCTGGCTACTTCTTAACACCTGTTGGCTCTCTGAAATGGCAGCTTTCAAATATTTAATTTCATGAACGTTAATCATATTTTTATTACTATACCTATATTTAATTGTAGAACAATTCATAATTCATTTCATTGTAGAAAGTTTAATAAATTCACATTCACTGATTATTACTTCACAAGGTTGGTACTTAAGTCACGGAACCGGGCATTACACACGGCACGTGTGAAGGAAGCCATTCAACTGTTCACCCGACTACCAAGTGGTGCGCCGTTAGAACGGTCACGGCGCCGGGTTTTGTAGTGGGAAGACACGGCGACTTCACGGTAGACCGTTACCGTATAGACGGCACCGGTGCGTGTGAAAGCTCTCGTATAATCTTCGACCTTTAACCGTGTAAACGGAGGCGTTTGGACGGTCGCCGTGTATGTGTGAAACGGGCCTTAGGATCCCAAAAAAAAGGCAAGAGATTTCTCGACTAGCTGAGAGTACTGTTAGCTTCTCAAACACTCCGGTCCATAGACTTAGTTGATTTGCATCTCTAACGAATTAGAAGATAATCTACTGTTTCGAAGTCTCCCACTTATGTCTTCGCCCTCCAAAAATCGTCCTTTATACTCATCCTTCGGCCTTTAACTTCAAACCTCATGACATCGGAGCTGGATTTTGATCATAAGAACATCGTTTGATATCTGATAAACATCTGATAAAAATGTACACTAAAATAATATATTTAAGAAATTGTATTTAAGTTATTATTGATTTGAATCTTTATATAATTATATACACCTGAAGATAGTGTTTTTAGGAACTGAAACATAAAAAATGATGGTCTAATGTGGAGCTGGATTTTGATCATAAGAACATCGTTTGATATCTGATAAACATCTGATAAAAATGTACACTAAAATAATATATTTAAGAAATTGTATTTAAGTTATTATTGATTTGAATCTTTATATAATTATATACACCTGAAGATAGTGTTTTTAGGAACTGAAACATAAAAAATGATGGTCTAATGTAAATCGAATATTTCGATAAAGAACATCATTTAATATTTTAAATGTTAATTATTGTAATATTTTAATATTTAATAAGACTTTATTGTGATTAGACGGACAAGATTTAAATAATATATACATATATTTTATTGTATAAATTAACCGAAGATTTTAGAATTTCACAGAGGTTCACTGTTAACGTTGATTCTGTTTCTGACTGGTGACAGTGTAAATGTACCCTGCATTGCCCGACGTTTCGGAGATACTGTATCCATCTTCAAGTTGACGCGACTATCCAAAGACCACTGCTGATATTTACAACGTAGGTCGAACTGGTTTGTGGGAAATTTTGTGTCCGATTCGTCGACCGATAGCCAAAAATATTAAAAAATTGGGGAATCAGTACGCCTTGAAGACGAATGCAGTAAGGACGTTCGAAACGCCAGCCTACATTTGTACGGTACCGCCAGGAATCCTTTTTGAAACGCTAATAGTTGCTCAGCTAGTCAAAATTTTAACGCCATTTATGGAACCGCAATATCCCTTATTGTGTCTACATGAGCCAGATGAATGCAATCCACGTTCTTTTTATACTATTTATGATCCTTTTTAATATTATCTGCCATCTACGTTTTGGTCTTCTATGTAAACTTTTCCTTCAGGTTTTCTGACCGAAACCCTATGTCGACTGAAGAAGGAGCAGACACATGGGGGTGATTTTTGGGATTTTATTTCTGAGAGTATTTTCGAAAAACCGCGTTACGACACTCACGACAAAAATCCACAAATTTTTATTACCGCGAAATCCTGAAATCTCGACCAAAAATTAAGAAGTGAGGTTTGAACCTGTAAATTCTATCTGACCTGTTTCAAGGCGACGGGAAAGTGATTTTACTCAGCGTCAGTGCGACACTGTAACTGACTTAAGGCGAAACTTTCATTTTTACTAACCTTAAAAGCGATGTTTCCGCATCTGTGAGGTTTTCGGCGATGACGCCTGCGGGTTTGAACGCAACCTGCCCAGCTGGACGACGCAGAGTAGAGAATTATCTTTGGAGATGAAGCTACAAGACAAACACTGCTTGAAATAAATACTTTACCGAATTTATCGGTTAGTTTATCAGTAGGTACAACCACAGTACGTATTTGTCTTGATTAAAATTACTTAAGCAAGACATTAAGACCACATTATAAGACCAAAGTCTTTTGTTAAAATGAAAATTACTTGGGGTTCGAGCCTTCAAAAGTCGAAATAAGGCATACGGATTACGTTTTTTCAGTCATCCTTGAACATCGAGACAGTATGTTCCTCCGAAATATTTTTAACTAATTACAAGACCAGCGGTCTAGCGGTCAGAACGCTGGCCTTGTAATCCTGGGGTCTCGGGTTCGATTCCCGGCGGTGCCCGAATTTATAACTTGTGTTGGGCAAGGCCGTGGTCTAGGCAACACGGAGTTTTCCTACGGGGGCTTCCCCGGTTTCTCCGTGGCATCCCAACAATTACTCCATCCACACACAGAAGAAGGCAATGGAAAACCACTTCTGGATCATCTGCCAAAAACGTATATGAACAGGTCCCAGTCCGAGAAAAGGATGGAAGGATCCTGTTCATATGGACCTGTCCTCAGACAGAACACTAATAATAATAATAATAATAATAATAAACAGCAAAACTGCTCAGAGCATTAATATAATTATGTTGAAATCGAATGTCTTCTTAGATATTAATTTCATAGTTCGCGCATAACGTGTCTGGCAAATATAAATTTACTTCAAATTTTGAATAATTATATCTTCGCTTGTGATCAATATAATATGTTTAATGTGAATGTAAATTTTGACACCAAAGTAAAGTGTAGACATGCATAATGAAAATTAAACCTGAAATTTTCCGTCAAGTTAACAGATTCTGCCTCAAGACACTGTTAATGGACCAGTTACATTAATATTTTGAGTGTAAAATTGCTGGTTCTGGAACTTAAGTCTGTAAAGTTCGATGGATATTAATAAGAGAGTTGGTATTTCAGTCGACGAGCGTGCGTGAGGTTTTCTTTCAAAGCAAATGTTTAATAGCCGGTGAAGTGATAAGAAATGCATTGCCCACCTGTCGTGACCTGTAAGGAGCTGTCATTCACTTCTCTTCCCGCGATGGCAGCGGAAGAGGAACCCCGTTCATTTCTTGTCAATCCCCTCGCCCTGTCTCTCTTCTGCGCCCGAAGCTACAACACACGTCCGTCCACTCAATAGTCAACGAGTCTCACTTACAAGATCAGTTCAGAGTTTCCAAAAACGATCTCTGTGGATGCTGGCAATGGCACTGGAGTCGGGAAGAATGAGATGGGCTGGGCATGTAGCGCGCATGGATGGGGCAAGAGGTGTGCACCGGGTATTGGTCTTGAAGCCTGAGGGGAAGAGACCTCTGGGGTGACCTAGACGTAGATGGGAGGATAATGTCAGGCGGGATCTATGGGAGATAGGAGTTGAAGGAGACTGGATTTTGTTGGCCCAGGACAGGGTCCGGTGGAGGGCTTTGGTTAGTTCGGTGATGAACCTTCGACTTCCGTAAGCCATCTGGTTGGTTGGGTCCACTATTTGGGAAGCCTGAGGGGAAGAGACCGCTGGGGAGACCTAGACGTAGATGGGAGGATAATGTCAGGCGGGATCTATGGGAGATAGGAGCTGAAGGAGACTGGATTTTGTTGGCCCAGGACAGGGTCCGGTGGAGGGCTTTGGTTAATTCGATGATGAACCTTCGGGTTCGCTAAGCCATCTAGTTAGTTAGTTAGTTGAGGGTGTCTGAGAACAAAAATGCTGAGTAGAATATTTGGACCTAAGAAGGAGAAAGTAAGTTAAGGCTTAAGAAAATTACAAAGAAAAGAGGATCTCCACAGTTTCTGCTATTCATCATGTGTTATTAAAGATATAAAATCAAGGACAGAGAGATGGGCAGAGCGTGTAGCACGAGGAGGATTTTTTTTTTAGTCGTGAAACGTGAAAGCAATGCACTTGATTAACCTAGACGTAGATGTGGGGGATAATATTAAAACTGATCTAAACGGAATAGGATATGAGGGAATGAACTGGACTGACATGCTCTTGTTAACGTGAATAATAAACTTTGGGGTTTCATCAAAAGCCAAATGTGTTTTTTTTTTTCCCCCAAGAAACGTCTTGCTTCTTGTAGTTGGTTTATTCTAATTTGGTTAATGTGACGTTCATTTGGAAGGTTCCACACTTCATTTAACTTTCAGAACCGAAATTTATAAATCGGTACAATGATCCGTTATGCTATCAGCAAACATTCGGCTTGAATCCGACTTTGAAGCCGCGGAATATATTTCTGTGGCGACTGACTGACTGAAACACGTGGAATACAGCCACACAGTTCCCATTCACGGTTAACCTGTGTGCTTAAGGAGTTGTCCGCTTTTAGAAATGTAAAAAAAAAACCTGTCCTGTCAAATACAGAATTTGCTAGGGAAGTTCATGATGCTAGTTCGTCCGGTGGAGTTAGAGGCACGCAGTGTAGGCAATAAAAGTCTATTAGCATTCGGCATGAAAAGCAGTGATGCACATAATTCTTCTTTCAAAAGAGTAAAACTGCTCTTTATTTGCTAACCGAACGATGTAGAGTTTATAAATAGCTTTATTAATTTTTTTATTTTGAGTAGAAACGTCGAAAGTACTTTCTAGTCGAATTTTTAAATAACTAGAGCAGAGCGCTCTTTTCGCAGCTCCTCGGGGGGTTTGGTCAAATTTTTAAAACGCAACCAACCCCCCCAATGGGGAGTTAAAACACTTGACCAACCCCCCTTCCCGAGGGGGTTGATTGCGTTTTAAAATCTTGAGTAAGAAACTAAACCAACCCCCCGAATGGGGGGGTTAAAACACCTGACCAACCCCCTCTTCGGAGGGGTTTTGATTGCGTTTTAAAATCTTGAGTAAGAAACTAAACCAACCCCCCGAATGGGGGGTTAAAACGCTTTGCCGAGTAAACAAATAACGTAACATTGTTTTTTGACGTCATTTTTGATAGACTACAAATCACGAATTTTTATAGTGGATTATTCTACAACACCTAGAAAATTAACCGTAAAAAATGACGGCAGAAACCTAGATTAATGCTTAAAATGCATTTTTTTCGTGAAGTGTAACAAAGCAGCTTATAAAAATGTAGATCAACAATACGTGTCTAGGTCCTTCTGCCTGATTGAGTGATGTTAGTACCAAGAATGATAATCGTGTGTTTGCTAATGCAGATTGAAACCTCGTGATGATTGTAGAACATTACGACGCACTGTACAACTGAATTTCTGTCTTTTATAAAAGGTATAATAATTAAGCTGACGGGTGGGTCGTGAAAAATTGTCTCTGATCCTGAACAAATTCGTTTGTTTCCCCCGATAACTCTCCTTCTGACGTCACACGAATACGTCACCGAAAACAGTGTGACGAGATTCCTACCAAATCGCCTTTACTCTCTTCGAAATGTCCTCAAAGAGTTCAAAATTAGACTCTCGTAAATATATTTCCAGTTTCAAAAACACGAAAAGGACACGTCTGTGCTGATAAGCGCGAACTGACCACCGGAGAAAATGCCGCTAAGTGTACGAGAGAACTCTAAGACCAGTCTTCCTCCTGTCCTTTGTCCACCACAAATTCCACGTAACAGAAGTCTGGCCACTCCAGAAAAAAAAAGCTTATTTTGTTATGTGTACAAAGAAGTAATTTATCGTTCTAAGGTTTCCTTCAGTCAACATCGCCACCTCCAGCTTCTACTTGTATCGTTTTGAATAATATTTTGTCTGTTACGATGATACTTCTAATTAGAAAGACAAGAACTTTCCCCCCCACAGAATCAACATGAAGTTGGCGGCGTTTTGTCCACACGAAAATTCTTGGCTATCAGGAAATGAAGACAAACAAACTCCTGTCTGTATTTACGAATACAATCATATGTTCGGAAGGGCTTCGTATTCCTGGAACTATGGAGGTCCACCCACATGAACAACCAGTCCTTGCTACAAAGATTCACGTTTATCGGCCAGTAGACGCTGGCTCTTCGTCTATCGCGTTTCGAACAATATGCAGTAGGTGCCTTGTAATCCTGGGCGTTTCGAACAATAACGAAAGTAGTTATGATTATGCAGTAGGTGCCTTGTAATCCTGGGGTCTCGGGTTCGATTCCCGGCGGTGCCCGAATTTATAACTTGTGTTGGGCAAGGCCGTGGTCTAGGCAACACGGAGTTTTCCTCCGTGGCATCCCAACAATTACTCCATTCACACACAGAAGAAGGCAATGGCAAACCACTTCTGGATCATCTGCCAAGAACGTATATGAACAGGTCCCAGTCCGAGAAAAGGATGGAAGGATCCTGTTCATATGGACCTGTCGTCAGACAGAACACTTAATAAATAAATAAATTCCATAGATACTGAAGATGACTGTCACCTGAGATGTTTCGCTGTTTAGTCTCGTAGTTGATCTGCGTCCATCATCACATCCCTGATGATGGAGGCAGAAAGCAAGTCAGAAACTTCGGTCAGTATCCATGAGACCACGTTGCAGCATCCCACAAGACTTTCGCCGTTTGGAGAACCACAAATCTTACTCGACGACGATCATTGTATGGAATGACCAATGAACGATGGCTTGCAATGAATGTGGAAGGAAGCGGTTGCAGCCTAAGGACTGAGGAAAACCACGAAACAATCGGGATACCCTCCAGGACCTCCCGAATACGTATCAGGAATGCTATCCGTCCAGTCCTGCACTGGATTGTTAGAACATGGAATGACATTGGCAGGTCGACAAGGAATTGAAAGGTTCCGGTATTGAACTTTTTCCTTTCCGGCATTCGTATGTTGGGACTGGCCTAGAAATGCTCTTATCGAGGCTGCAATAGGGAATTTTTTTTCGCAAAGGTTTCTGTATGGAGATTGCACAAGTAGAAACTCAAAATTTTGAATATGATGTCGGTATACAAAATTTAAATATTTATCTGATGAGACAAGACAGCAACAACAAACCAAATTCTGACGTCTTTCTATTGTCGGTGCGTTATTTCGATGGTTCGGACAGCCTTCAACTTGACTTACAAAATAAAGATCAGCTGATACAGAAGTTTAGATTTGTGACGCGTTCATTCTCCATTTACAGGTCACGAGCGCAATTGTGAGCGACCTCGAAGTCAGAGAAGTGCCCCTGGCTTCGAAAAGTTGTTTCCTAAAGGCGACTGGTATTCTGCATAAGGCGTGTCGCTTCTTAAACACCCTATGTCGCTTATTTTAACATCCCGAACAAACACACACTGGACACGCCTTTCTAATCCCATTATGAAATTTACAATTTAAATTTGTCATAAATAAAGAAACATTATTACTGTTCTCGCCAGTGGGTCCAAAGTGATATTCGGGCCCAGTTTTCTAGCCAGTGGGTACAGGGGTCCTTTCCCTGGGGGTAAAGCGACCTTGGCGTGAAGCTGGCGACTCACCTCTATCTAGAATCGAGGGCATGAAACAGTGGAGCTATACCTCCATGCCCTCTACGTCTTCATGGCGTAGTGTTCTACAAGTACCAAGGACAATGTTTCCTTTATTATTATTATTATTAATTCTATTTGCAATATGAAACAACTGTCAATTACCGGAGAATATATCTATTATTAACGACAAACAAAATTATTTTACGAAAATTGTTCTCTCAAGCCAAATTCCATACGTAAATGAAATTTTTTAGGGATCATCGAAGTGGAATTTTGAGTCGTAAATATTCATTTACTGATGAGATGTTCTTCATCCGTAAAGTACTTGTAGATAAATTGGAAACAACGTGGGAATATGCATCAGTTATTTACAAGTTTCAAGAAAGGCAACTCAATTTGAAATCCCGCGAAACTATAAATTTGTGCATTTTCTGTTCAGGACGCCATTGCTATATTAATTAGGCCCAAGAGGGGGGAATTGGAATTGGAATTGAAAGGGACATCTGAACCCGCGGTTCGTGCTGAAGAAGCTAATTTGCTGGGCGCAAATATGAACGCCGATTTTAAGTAAAAAAAAAAAAACAGTGACTCTCTTAGAAGCGAAATTGGTCCAGGATGTGATGTAAAATCAAAATACGTCTTCATATCTCATCACAAGAATTTGTAAGCCAGAAAATTTCATCCCGTCTACTATTTCATACATTAAAACTGATAATTCTACCCGTTATTTTGTA